CATGTGGATAATGATCTCATCTTAACTTATATATTATATTTTTGAATTTTGAAAAACTTGACAAAAGTTATCAGGAAAAGAGTTGTGAAGAAGGCTCAAAGTGTACAGGAATATACATTTTTTTACTGGAAAATGGGATTTGATTTACAAGGAATGGGAAACTGTAATCAACAACGTGGGAAGTCTTCAAGGTTCATTACTAGGACTGGGATTTAGGTCACTGAGAATGTAAAATAGAATCACCAACATGGGAAGTCTTCAAGGTTCATTACTAGGACTGGAATTTAGGTCATTGAGAATGGGAAATAGATTTGACAACTTAGGAGTTCCCCAAGGCTCATCACTAGGACTGCGATTTAGATCATTTGGGAACAGAAAATGGTGCTGCAACACTATGACCCTAATTCAGTTTAAACACTAATTGGTTAATTGGAATAAAGAACAGGGAATGTAAAAGTCTTATTAACGAAAAGGAATGCTTGTGGCAAAAATCCTAGAGGTAAGAAATTAAATATGGAATAGTCCTCTTCACAGTTCCCTGTGCCATCTTGAAAGGTATCCGTGCCTTTGCATCGAAGCGAGACGAACAGTGAGCTTGCAATGATACAGACATGCAAATAATTGTCCAAGGCGTTAAAAAAGGTCTCTATCATTGCAAGCTCACTGTTCACGTCTCTCTTCGATGCAAAGGCATGCCTACCTTTCAAGATGGTGCAGGGAACTGTGAAAGGCACTGTTCTACAGTCTCTAGCTCTTGTCATGAAAAAGACTATTCAATATTTAAAGCGATGTATTTGTATATACTAGAATGTGGTTCATTTTTTATATTCATAGGCATTAGTGAGAATCTAGTAAACTTTAGTAAAGTCCTGCTCTTCCTAATTAAAGCTTTACAATCTATCCTCACACCCTCCTCCACTTCTTAATTTTCACTTATTACTGAAGTACTGAACAAAATTCTTGTGAAATTTTAAGTCTCACTTCATTTAAAAAACAACGTCTTACGTTCTTTTTTTCATGTCTATTGTGATGTTTGGTTTATGGTCTTTGGCTTTACGGGTTTACTTGCTGTCGTATTATAGCCATGTAATAATTTTTTTTAGTTCATAATGTGAAGGCACAAAACACTTTCCAGCCTCCTTAAAACATGAAGTCTTGAAAGCTACATTTGAATTTCCAGAATTACTGGTCACTCGTGACGTTAATGTGCTGTAAAATGTCCCATTACTGACAAGGTTACTGTAAATGAATACGTTTGATAGTAATTTGTTGAATACTAACCTAAAGAAGACTCCAACCGAGTTTCTTGATTTTTCAATTTCGCATTCTCATCTCTTAAATCTGGAAGCGTTTGCGGAACACCAGGATCATCAATGCACCAAATCTTTAACTTCTCGTTCTCTTCATGGCTTTTCTGGATGTCTAGAGGATCTTTCAGGAGCTTTTTAATCGCAGTTTCCCAATCTGAAACAGCAGAAGAGTCGTAATGCTTCACTATCCTCAGTAAAGCATCTTTATAATGCATTTCCAAAGGTCTTGGAACTCACTGTCATCCAGCTCTGTTTTGACTCTATGAGCGTAAACAGCGTTCCGATAATACTTGATCCTCGCTAGATCGGCTGGTAAAGCCAAATCTGTGTCGTCAGGAAGCTTGTCCCATCCATTAGGTGGTGAAGTCAAGCTACAGAATTCTCTCAGCAGTTTGAATAACAAAGTTATATCAAAATCAGTAGATTTTCCGCAAGAAGTGTCGGTTGGGAAAAGAGATTTCCACTGCTCAGAAGTTATTATATGCCTATCTCTCAGCAATTCCAATCTTCCGAGTACTATTGGGAACATCAATACATGTGCAAAATGGTGGGGAGGGATTATGATGTCCAATAATTCTCTTAAGATAACCGTTCCTCCTTCTATCAAGAGTCTTGTTAGTCTCGTGTAATTATTCTTCTCTGTTGAAGATCGCAATATCTCACTTGGATCTGCTGGAGCACTGGCCATACCTGCAATATCCTAATCATAGTATGTCTCCTAAAGTTAAGCCACTAGCCATAATGGAAGGCGTTCGTTAAAGCCTGGTTTCCATATAATCGAAAACGAACGTAAACGATCGAAAACGATCGCAGGATCGTGGAGCTCACTAGAGCGTACGATCGCAAACGATCGTTAAACGACCGTTTCCATATGACCGAAAAAGGTCAAAGTTTCAAATTAGAGCTGGTCTCTCGATGTTTGATGTATACAGAGAGCCAGACTCGACTTTCGCATTCCCTAGGTACAGCATCCCTGCCAGGACCTGCAGATAGAATATTTTTCCTTCGTTTYAAGAAGCGTCCAATCGCTCTTCGAACGTTCAGGATTGTTTGTCGGCTCGAGTCGGCAGAATAGCGAAATATTCAGCTACTAGTTTTTACTTCAAACGCCACCTGAGAGTTTGTAAACAAGCAAACAGTTGCTGTGACATTACAGTTTAGAAAGCATTGCATCTTCGAAAAAATCATATATTATGGTACACATTTCGATCGTACGGATCGAGACGGATCGCAAAATTAGAACCCGGTTCTAATTTTTCGATCGATTACGATCGTGATCCAAAATGCATGATCGAAAACGATCGTACGATTGAAAAACTTTAATTCCATATGATCTCAGACGATCGAAAAAAAATTTTTTTTTTGATCGGTCTCGATCGCTTTCGATTATATGGAAACCAGGCTTAAAGAAGAACCTATTTTTCAAAAATTTCATTTCCTATACTAAATATTTATCCACCCACTTTTTCTTGGAAGTGTTTATATTTTTCACAAAAGATTCCAAGAAGGCTTTGTTTCGTTTACGATAATACTTTCGAACAAAGGAATACATATTTTTATTATTTCATATTTTTCTCCAGAAATTAGAATTTCTCTAATATCAAAGCCTAAGAACTAATATTACCAAGAAAAGTCATTTTACATGTTTTGATATTTCTGGTTATAAGGGAAGTTATCTTGGTGGTACTCGTTGATANTGACCCACCCCCGATTTCGCCCACCTCCCCACCCCCCCCCCCCCCATAGTTTATGACCAGTTCCTTACAAGGAATGGGAAATGTAATCAACAACATGGGAAGTCTTTAAGGTTCATTACTAGGACTGGGATTTAGGTCACTGAGAATATAAAATAGAATAAACCAACATGGGAGTTCCCCAAGGTTCATCACTAGGACTGGAATTTAGGTCACTGAGATTGGGAAACAGATTTTACAACATAGGAGTTCCCCAAGGCTCATCACCAGGACTGGGATTTAGATCATTTGGGAACAGAAAATGGTGCTGCAACACTATGACCCTAATTCAGTTTAACACTAATTGGTTAATTGGAATAAAGAACAGGAAATGTAAAAGCCTTATTGACGAAAAGAATGCTTGTAGCAAAAATTCTAGAGCTAAGAAATTAAATATGGAATAGTCCTCTTCACAGTTCCCTGTGCCATCTTGAAAGGTATCCGTGCCTTTGCATCGAAGCGAGACGAACAGTGACCTGGCAATGATACAGACATGCAGATAATTGTCCAATGTGTTGAAATTGCAAGCTCACCGTTCACGTCTCGCTTCGATGCAAAGGCATGGCTACCTTTAGAGATGGTGCAGGGAACTGTGAAAGGGGCTATTCTACAGTCTCTTGTCATAAAAAAGGCTATTCAATATTTAAAGCGATGTATTTGTATATACTAGATGGTTTAGGAATGTGGCTCATTATTTATATTTATAGGCATTAGTGAGAATCTAGTAAACTTTAGAAAAGTCCTGCTCTTCCTAATAAAGCTTTTCACCCTACACTCTCCCCTCCTCCACTTCCTTATTTTTACTTATTAAAAGTACTGGGAAACCTTCTTACAAAACCCTGAACAAAATTCTTGTGAAATTTTAAGTCTCACTTCATTTAAAAAACAATAATTTCCCAAAAAGTATTAAGCCGATATGCTCAGTATTTTTTATAATTTGTCTTTCTATTTGTGTAGATTGTTACAATTGTTGCTTAATTAAAGTTCTACATATATGCTAATTAGGTGCGGTTTCATTTATTTACAGCTAATTTAGGAGTCACGCGAGACCAGTATCTCTCATGTTTTGATTGCTGTCGGCGGCTTTCCGGTAATTCAAATTTCTTTTGCAGCCATTCTCAATAACACGCGCCGCTCTAGCGATTGTTTCTATCTCGACGAAGAAGGTTTTGGTGGACGTCAATCACAAGGCGTTTCCATAATATTGTCGGAAAACACAAAGCTATAAGGGCACGTGCCTATAGAATGTCATGGAAACGCCTTGATTGACGTCCATCAAAACATTTCGTCGCGACAAGTACAGAAACTATCGCTAGAGCGACGCATGTGATTGAGAATGGCTGTAACTTAAAAAATAAATATTTTCAAGCTAATTTTCAGCGATGTGGTTGTGAAGTGAATTCTTTTGGATAATATTTCACAATCATTCATGATAGCGGGTTCAAAACCTAATTCTTTTACTGAAATTATTTTGGAATATCGGAATAGATTGGAGATTTGAAATTTAAACATAAAGTCTTGAAAGCTACATTTGAATTTCCAGAATTACTGGTCACGCGTGACGTTAATGTGCTGTAAAATGTCCCATTACTGACAAGGTTACTGTAAATGAATACGTTTGATAGTAATTTGTTGAATACTAACCTAAAGAAGACTCCAACCGAGTTTCTTGATTTTTCAATTTCGCATTCTCATCTCTTAAATCTGGAAGCGTTTGCGGAACACCAGGATCATCAATGCACCAAATCTTTAACTTCTCGTTCTCTTCATGGCTTTTCTGGATGTCTAGAGGATCTTTCAGGAGCTTTTTAATCGCAGTTTCCCAATCTGAAACAGCAGAAGAGTCGTAATGCTTCACTATCCTCAGTAAAGCATCTTTATAATGCATTTCCAAAGGTCTTGGAACTCACTGTCATCCAGCTCTATTTTGGCTCTATGAGCGTAAACAACATTCCGATAATACTTGATCCTCGCTAGATCGGCTGGTAAAGCCAAATCTGTGTCGTCAGGAAGCTTGTCCCATCCATTAGGTGGTGAAGTCAAGCTACAGAATTCTCTCAGCAGTTTGAATAACAAAGTTATATCAAAATCAGTAGATTTTCCGCAAGAAGTGTCGGTTGGGAAAAGAGATTTCCACTGCTCAGAAGTTATTATATGCCTATCTCTCAGCAATTCCAATCTTCCGAGTACTATTGGGAACATCAATACATGTGCAAAATGGTGGGGAGGGATTATGATGTCCAATAATTCTCTTAAGATAACCGTTCCTCCTTCTATCAAGAGTCTTGTTAGTCTCGTGTAATTATTCTTCTCTGTTGAAGATCGCAATATCTCACTTGGATCTGCTGGAGCACTGGCCATACCTGCAATATCCTAATCATAGTATGTCTCCTAAAGTTAAGCCACTAGCCATAATGGAAGGCGTTCGTTAAAGCCTGGTTTCCATATAATCGAAAACGAACGTAAACGATCGAAAACGATCGCAGGATCGTGGAGCTCACTAGAGCGTACGATCGCAAACGATCGTTAAACGACCGTTTCCATATGACCGAAAAAGGTCAAAGTTTCAAATTAGAGCTGGTCTCTCGATGTTTGATGTATACAGAGAGCCAGACTCGACTTTCGCATTCCCTAGGTACAGCATCCCTGCCAGGACCTGCAGATAGAATATTTTTCCTTCGTTTYAAGAAGCGTCCAATCGCTCTTCGAACGTTCAGGATTGTTTGTCGGCTCGAGTCGGCAGAATAGCGAAATATTCAGCTACTAGTTTTTACTTCAAACGCCACCTGAGAGTTTGTAAACAAGCAAACAGTTGCTGTGACATTACAGTTTAGAAAGCATTGCATCTTCGAAAAAATCATATATTATGGTACACATTTCGATCGTACGGATCGAGACGGATCGCAAAATTAGAACCCGGTTCTAATTTTTCGATCGATTACGATCGTGATCCAAAATGCATGATCGAAAACGATCGTACGATTGAAAAACTTTAATTCCATATGATCTCAGACGATCGAAAAAAAATTTTTTTTTTGATCGGTCTCGATCGCTTTCGATTATATGGAAACCAGGCTTAAAGAAGAACCTATTTTTCAAAAATTTCATTTCCTATACTAAATATTTATCCACCCACTTTTTCTTGGAAGTGTTTATATTTTTCACAAAAGATTCCAAGAAGGATTTGTTTCGTTTACGATAATACTTTCGAAAAAAGGAATACATATTTTTATTATTTCATATTTTTCTCCAGAAATTAGAATTTCTCTAATATCAAAGCCTAAGAACTAATATTACCAAGAAAAGTCATTTTACATGTTTTGATATTTCTGGTTATAAGGGAAGTTATCTTGGTGGTACTCGTTGATATAAACAAACTTTGGAGTCCTTTCACTCCATGTCAGTCGGAAGCAATAAAAACGTTTTCCAACTTTTTTTCGCATCACCAGAAATAACATATTCTTTTCTACTTTAACCTAAACTTTCCAATAAATTAAATGTTATTTTTTAATAGTAACTTAACGTTCCTGAGAAGCTACACAAGTCCTTCCCCTCATCCTCACTAGTAACTTTTTACTGCTACAGCTTCAGTTTACTGCATTTGCAGCTGCATATTCAAGTTACTTGACATACTGCGAGGATCAGCTCAATTTGATAAACTCTTTACTCGTATAAGAGTAAAAGATTCACACAGTTACAATACAATGAACCCAAAAAATCAATAAATATTATCCAGAACGTACATATATTTCGTCAACCTCGATTCCCTCTTGAAGATTCAGCGTTAAAGTATATTCTTAAACGCAAACTTTCTCGAACGCTCAAAACTAAGCAGGAACTAATAAATATATCTGTGAGTTTTCCCAAAACTTACCTTGAGTTGTCACCAGCTAATAAAAGACAAAAAGAATGTTGAACAAACGACAGCCACAGCTTCTTACATCTTCGAATAATTCATGGTCTTAGTCTTCGCTTGGACTTTCATTTTGAAGAGGGTTCCCCGTTCCCTTCTGCGTCGCAAAAACAATACGTCATTAACTGGTGAAACGATGTGCGCATTCTCAATCTGTGTCTAGACAGGCTAAACTTAATATATTTTTTAATTCATTCATATTTTTCTCCAGGAATAGGAATTTCTCCAATATGAAAGTCTAATAACTAATATTATTAAGAGAGTTATCGCTTGAAATGTTTTGAAGGTGTTTCCAGACGCATATTGCGGTAAGCATCAGAAAAAAACATTTAAGCGTGAAGCTCGAAGACACAGCTTGAATATTTATTAAAATTGAAGCAAAATGCAGATTAGCTACATTTACGAAGCTGTAGAGAATCTCCTTAGAAACGAATATCAAGATCGAAGTTTACAGTGAAAAACAGAGCAATCTCAAATAAAGTAATT